AAAAAAGGTTCAAATTCTGTCTTTGGTCGGGTTTACTGACCTTTTTAAGTCACATAAACGCATTATCTCACGCTCTTGGTTGTAGTGAGGGAGTTCATAAATTAATTATGTAGGAAATGCCTATTATCAGAACTTTGGCAAAATATAGTAGTTTAGCTCAAACTTTTCTTTTTCCTCAAGTCTTTCAATCACACATAAGTGATTCTTAACCTTTTTTCTCCATTCTTCGCTTAGCGTATCTCGTATTCTAATAATTTTGAATACTTAGTCTGAGCTTGGCAGCACATTGCACAGCAAACTGATGAGCCTTAAATATTTTTGCCATGTGCACAGACACTTCCGATATTTTTGTCCCCTAATGCTCCCTAAAATGCTATACAAGATCTGAAACTGAATTATGTGACTGAATATGGAGGAAATTATTGAAGATGCCGTGCATATTTGAAGGGTATACGAAATTAGGTAGTTGTAGAACAGAAGAGTTTGTATATACCGGAGCTTATCGAAAGGTGTGCATGAATGTTAGTGAAATATGAGAAATGAGGAACTGAGGCGATTTGCTGCATAGTGGGGTTTCACTAAAGATGTGTCAAAGTCAGATTGTGCTTAGCAGCCCACTCGGTGACGCAGTTATGATTCAGAGTCGGTCCGGGCAAAATCACATCTAGTGCAAAGCAGATAGTCATTCAGATATGGACTAAATGGCGCAGTGGTTGCAGGACTTTGGTCTCGTTGCTGGATGAGCGCCTTGTATTTGGATGTTGAAAGGGCTTTGCTATGACGCATATTCGAGAGTTGGAGTGGCATGCGATGACCGTTATTCCAAGGAAGATCTGGTCAAGCGAATTTTTTCGATAAGTGTTACTAAAATTTAACTTTAAGGGCCTCTTTTAAATCTTCAACCAAGCGTGGCTTTTCACGGGCTATTTCTTGAGGCAGAATGTATAAGCATGAGGATGTGATGCTGAGGTAGAACTTGATGTGCGGCACGCTACACCTCTTCCTGAGGAAGATGGTCCTGGCTAGAAGTTTTTACCAAATCTTTTCGAGCTGTGACGTCTGGCTTCCGGTCGGTTTCAGACAGTTACCATAACTTTGGATCACAGGTGAAAGGTATCATGAATGGTCTGTGTGCGCGAGGAGAAAACTGGTGGGAAATAGGTCTGGCGTCATGTAATGGGACTTAACCGATGTAGTGAGAACGAGTTTTTCTAATCAACTATAGGACATTTTTAATTTTCGCCACTAATTGGCAAATAAGGTTATATTGTCTATCATAAATACGACTGCATAATACACTATTTTTGGCAGCCTGATTTAGATAAATTTCTCTTCAAAACTGGATTTTACAGAAGAAAATGTAATTTTATTTTTAACTGTATTTTGATGATAGACAACTGGTAGCCTTAAGACCTACTTCTAAACGAAAATAAGTAATGTAATCGCTTGCGATGTCGAATAAAACTTAGCTTCATAGGCAATCCCATCACAAAATGATATGAGAAAGGCCTGGCCCTCCTTGAACTTCATGTCTGCCCTGTGACCTAATGACAGTGTGGCGAGATTATATGCGGCACTTCTCGGGTTTGATTCTTGCTGAGGGTGCTGATGACATATGCGAGGTCGAAGCTGCAGTCTACAATCAATATGAATACTTTTTGAAAATCGAGGTAAAGTGCAATGAAATAGAAACCTTAAGCTTAGGAATGGGCTTTTGGGATAATTCAATTTGTTTTTTTTTCGTTATTTTGTTAACCTGCCACCCCGTATCTATGAATAACTAGGTAAGCCAACTTTTTTTAAAATTTGTTTTCATTCGTTCAGCAATGGAACTCGGGCACCACGGGCACCGTATGTCTGCTCATGAACTGGGTCATATACACTGGCTGGTTGGGAGATTCGCAGGCCTGTCTTGTCTTCACTCCAGGCCAGCTGGAATCGCCTCATGCTGTGTTTTCAGATCTCTCAGCATGGACGTCTAATGACTATAAAAAATCGGTATCACTGTGGCCAAATTCTGCACATTCATCTCTACAGGTCACTGAACCGATAGCGACGGTCACAACTGCAGCTGTAGAAGAGGCAGGATCGCCTTTATTGCCTGTTACTTCTTTGAATTCCGTAAATATCAATGGGAACATCTGGCCATTCGATGATGAATCGGAACTTTTAAAACAACCAGGTTTAGAGATCTATTGGTTATACTATTTTTCACTGACTCGCATGACATTTCATTGAAATACAAATTAGATCATAAGTTGTTACAAACTTTATTCCTTTCGTTATTATAAAAGACAATGTGTTTTATACAGCTTATCAGATTTCTTTTAAAAAACTTGTCATTGACCACGATTACTAGTATTTATGTTCCACTATTTTTGATACCTTAATAAATATTGCTATTTTTAACTATTGATGGTAGTTTAATTATTATGCGACATAAAAGATTAAATGTCTACAATAAATGCTTGCCTATGTTCTGCATATCACGAAATTTGTGTTAGATTTGAGGATAGGCCAGGTACCAAACATAGTATGTCACAAATAATTGGATTTACATCCCATAAGGGCGTTCAGTTAAAGGTAATTGATTACCATACAATAATAATCTTTTTATTT